CATCGGGCAATGAGATGTATACTATACGTATACGCATGCCGTATACGCATGCCCCGAGCACTAAGTTCAAATCTACTTCCGTTATCCACGGAATGATTGTCTAAAAGGAATTATGAAGCAGGGAAGCGCAATAGTAGTGACCTTGACTTACATGCGAAAGATTGTGAGACCGAACATTTGCTCGTTCCAGAAATGTCGCTAGAAAGGGAATTCACACATCTGTGAAGAGAGCAAATGTCTGGACTCACATAGAAAGCGAAGTCGAATATTCGAAAACAGTGAACAATGACCTACACAGCGAAGTTCGTGTGGCTTACAAAAAACAGTGCAAACCTTGGCCACGTTTCAAATAAATGATATGCCAACACTTCTAGATACATCGTCTTTCGATGAATGTGGTTTCTTGCTTTGCAAATTGTCACAAGACAGTTTTTTTTTGTTAGCTCAGATACTGACAATGAGCCAAATGATCATGGAGCATAATTCAGAAAATTATAGTTTAGCAAATGAGTACTGTAAAAATGTCGGCTAGTCGTAAATTGTGAAAATTTTATAAATGGATTTTTTTCAACAGACAACAATAACCAAAATTAACAACATGAAACAACATAACATTCACATGGGGCCACAAAAGGAATAAAAGTTAACGACGGAGGGGAAAGCATCAAAAGTTATATGACAATTGATAAGTAACTAACGTAGTGGAACATTCTACGAAGATGGTCCGGCTTTTTTAGCTAACAATTTCTTCCGTTTATTTTTGATAAGCTTAGCACTTGTCTTGGCCAAAACTCTCCTGCCTACTCTGAATTTCAACCGCTTTTCTTTCTTAGTCTTCTGAATATAGCCAGCCTGAAAATATTGTTTACTTGCAAGTTATGATAGTCATCAATGATTCAGAGAAGGAGCACATCGAAATGTGAATGAATACTAATCTCTTATAGGTAAGCTCAACGGGAACTACAGAAACACAGCGTCCAGGATGATTTTACCCCTACTGGGTCGTATCGAACAATACGAGAAGATTTCTTAAAAGCATTATAAGGAAGCTGTCAAAGCAAAATTAGAAAGGCGTCAAGGAGAAACCTCGAAGAAGTGGTCAGGGTCAGAGAATTAGAAGGTGGGAAAAAAAACGAGATTTGAATGAGTCAACAAAAAGCCGAAAAGAAACGTTTTTGAGAGGGTCACTCGAACGTATACTGGAGGAGATGGAAAGCATACAAATGCTTTCTCTTTTGGGTAACTGGTTACATTACAAAGAAAAAATACTGCGAGAATCAAGATCCAGTTCCAGCGGAGACCCCTTAATAGTCCCTGGTCTCGAATGGAAATATGCCACTTCTGTTGATTTCGCAAAAAAAGCAAAAGAAGACGAAAGCGAAAAATAATGGCAATAATAACAGAAAAACCACTAACCGTATTGAACCCATCGTTCTCGTCAGTTCCGGAGATCTTTTTCGCCTTGTTCTTTAACTGGTTTCTCTTTTTCTTAGCTTTTCGCTTACCACTTCCTTCAGAACCATCCACTTCTGGAACATTGCAAGGGCTGAGACATGAATATTTTATGCGACATTTTGTTAATGTTTTCTTTATATAGGTAAAAGAAATTATGTGCCATCAACAACCGGAGGTTTCGCGCTCTATTCTGGCTGTTGATCAGTTTGCTTGATTGTGTATGTCCTTTCCTACTCCGACCTGACAAGTTTCCCTGACGCTTGGCACGCTCGTAGAAGTTTGACAAAAGGGCTTGTACTTGGTTCAAAAGAGCAAAAAGAACCAATATCGGGCTCTGAAGCTGAAGTTCTTCAAAATCTTGACAAGTTCTGCGCGGTGGGCCACAGACGGTGCACATACAATTCCGTTTATAGAGCCAAGTTAAACGTTTTCTATATACTGTCCACATATCAAACGAAACTATTGGCCTTAAAGTAGAACGGAGAAAAACGCGAATAGTGCCGCACCGTTTGGTGACCAGTAGTTGCAATAGTTATACAGGGTGTCCCAAAATTACTTGCGCCAAAATTCAAAAATTCACTGGAAAAAGTGAATCAATTATATTTTTGATTAGTTCTGCAGATAGGTTCTCTTGTGAACCGCACCGTTATTGGGGTAGGAATGCCAGCATACTCTGAGATGACAAGAAGTGATCCAATGCGATCTGCGATCAGTATCATGCATGAGGAAGGGACTGCATCGAAGGACATTATTTAATTTTTTATGTTTACCCTCAAGACTGCTTAGATGGTCGTCAATGATTCAGGAGAATGGAACATTCATTAACAAGCCTGGGCGAGGAGGAATGGTCAGTGTTCCCAGAGACTGTTGAATGTATGGAAGTCATCGATGGAGCGTATTGTTAAGGAAAAGCTGCATTGCCAATCCTATCACATGCAGAAGTGCCAGTTCCTTTCGTACAGCAACAAGCAGCAGAGAGGCCAAAAAGTTGGAAGGTCACTAGCGCGCTTCACTGGCGACACGCAACTCTCGATCGTTTTTTCTGCCGAGAACATACTAGCTGTGAAGCCGTGTTAAGTCGTTGGAACGATCACATTCTACTGGAAATATCGGGAGTGCATCTCACGGAAAGATTGTTGGAAGAACGGCTAACCCGGCATCAGTAATGAATTGGAGGTGAGTCGCGGCCAATGGTGAGACGCCGTTGGTTTTCGCCGATTCATGTGTGAAGATCAGCAAGGACGTGCACATAGAACGTATTGAACCTTGGTCCAACTCCCACCTTGGGAGCAAGCCGTGGTGTTCCCAGCGAGGACAGCGCTTCTTTCCACGAAGCCAAGATTGTTCAAGGCAGGTGGGAGTTGAGAGCTGAGCGAGTTGTTCTCCGCGAGGCGGCCTTCTTGCTCCCGTCATCTTGATCATTGAACTTTCGGTCTGGTCCGTGATTAAAAGCAATAAAGTGCTTTACTTTCTTAGCGAGATTCCACTCAGAATTTCATCCCTGGTCTAGGCGCGGTGTTAGCGGAATACAATTACAGCTAAACTTATAGATTATATACATAGATACTACTGTAGTACTGAGTAGAGAGAACATACCATTGTCAGAGCTGTCGGAGTCCTTGTGACCACCTTTTCCTTTCTTCAGCGACTTCTTTTCCGGGCTTTTTCCTTTCTGATCAACTTCGTCACTGTTTTCGTCTAGTTTTTCCCGTTGCGCCTATAACAATCTACAGAAATGAAGAGGAACAAAGCGTAAATACGTTGTGCGATGGAAAATGAACTGACAATATCGACGCTAGCTTTTCCCATCTTTGCATTTGACAATTTCTTCAGCTTTGCAACGAAAAATCCGTCAATATTGTGAACATGAGGGTAGTAACGCCGAGTTAAGTTCAATGAAGGGTGGAATCGATACTCACGGAATCTAGAAAAGGGTGAGTAATTTTACATTAGTAGAACCAATGGAGCTGTATTACCGTGTGAATCCTTCAACGCCAACTTCCAGACCGCATGGAACTAATTCACAATGCCTTTTCTTCAAGGCGAAATTCACCACAGCCTCATTTTCTTCGACCTAAAACACAACCGATTGTTGAAAACCTATTAATATGCACACAGAATAATTTTTAGACTAACCATAAGTTACAAGTTTCAATATTTAGGTTCGTGAAATATTGACAAAGAATTCTTACAAAACTATCAAATTCAGTAAAAATTGACAGAGTCAACTCAACAAACCAAAACTGAGCAGGTTGAGTAGACCACATATCCACCATTTGGTGATTTTGCATCCACTGCATCGAGAGCGGCAAGAATCAATTGTCGTTGAACGGTATGTCTGAAAGCGTGTTCGTTTAAGCCGTAAGCTCAAAGGATTCACTCAGAAAAGCGTACTTTCGCTGAATGTCTTGACTGTCTTTACTCGTCTTCACAGATTGGTCTTTCCATATTACACCAGTTCCAGAGCAGGGAGCATCCAGGAGGACGCGATCGAAGCCATTGGGAGCTAACTGAAGCCAGTGGTTTAAATATGCTTGTCATACGTTCGAAAGGAAAGGCGAATTAGATTTCTAATCCATAAATAATGATATGCTCTGCACTAAGAAAGCGTAAGATAAATAAAATGATCATTAGTCAACAGATGAGCGAAATTGCCGTTCAATGCAATTCGTGCAAAAGAGACAACTTCCATACAAGATACCTTGTGATATACTCCAAAAAGCAGAGGCCAGAGCAGGTGATGGATATAAGGTCAAATGCCCTACTGAGTGAGGAAATTACCCGGTGGCTATTAGAGAAACATCGTGTAAATGCTAGGTCAAAAGCTGTACACATAACGCTAGAGCGTTTTTGTGTCACTCTACTGGCAAGACCTAGGACTTGGCAAGACCTAGGAGTAATATGAAAGCTAGAAGCTTTACATCCAAAGCCGCTATAGCGCATACATATGTTAGGTTGACAAAGAATACTAGAGACTAGATAACTACAGATATAGCTGACACAAGTCAAATATCACATAGCTTTCAATTTTTTGACCTATGTAAGCTCTTAATCATTCGAGATTTACCGCCCCATCTTGTTCTGTTCTGTGTGATAGCTAAAGTATTCTTGATCTAGCTGATGTCTCCTTGACTACAGGAAGGTTGTACTTCGTTTGCCTATTTTGTTACTGTCAATAGTGTGCTGTTTGTAATAGTTGTAACATTGGGTTTTTCCAACTTGCCGCAAAAAAAAAGAAAAAATGCAATTCGCATGATATCTAACATACACACCTTTGCATATTCATCGCCACTAAGATTGCTGACAATGGCATTGTTAACGCCCAATCTATGCAAATTTCCAATCACAGCACGACAGCGGCTCATCTGAAATAGTAGCAGTCGCCTAGAATCCTGTGAGAGAAAACTCGTGGACTTACGTTCGCGTCGTTAGCAAACAGCACGCCGCTATTTTTCATGAGGCTAGCAATATGGGAAGTCTTCCCTCCCGGAGCGGCGCACATGTCGAGCACACGGTCACCAGGCTGTGGAGCAAGAGCCATGACAGGCAACAACGAGTTGAGACCTTGTATCATGTAATGACCAGCAAGGTACTCAGGTGTAGCTCCTTAACATGAACATTATCTTGAATTGTTCGACAAAACGAGTCAATCTAAAATCTACCTATTGGAACTTGAGAGTCGTACACCACTAATCCGACTTTTGTCCAAGGAGCTGCAGGATCTACGTTCATACCTCGATTGATCAAAGACTTGGCCAAGTCTCCTCTGCAATTAAAGCCTATGAAACACAACAATTGATGAAAGTAATACGGCTTCGGAGCGGTGAACAATCCTTTTCATTGACCATTGACAGGCATATTATTCAAAACGGCTAGAGGAACAGCTACAAGAAGAAAGTTTCCATAAAATATGAACAACACCTTCTTGTTTTGAGCGTGTTTGTTCTTATTGTGACAGGGCGTTGCTGGTCATTCGCATCCAGAAATTCTATTAACTGTAATAAGACATTAAGGCTACAGACTTGAAATATGTGTAGAGCGAACCTATTGGAAATGCATACCTCAGAAGGTTGTGGGAAAAGTTGCATAAATTTCGTCATGAGGAACTCATTGTAACCATATTGAGAGCACAGATCCTTAGTGAGTATAGCAACATAATCCTCCCTGCTTTTGCCAGGCTGTCGACGAGTTTTGAAGTCACCTAGCACCTAAACAATGAGAAATCGTATCAGACTGCAATTATCCTGGTGAGCATGATTCGCCTTTACGTAGATTACAAAGATTTGAATGACTCATTGTTATTTTCCCGAAGAAGATATTTACACAGCACGCTTAGGGATAGCTCGATTCTTCTTTGCAAACTTGACTGGCTACATTTATGTGTGAAGACAAACTGTGATTTTCACCCCCCCCCCCCCTCCTGCATATTCAGAGCTGGTGGAAAATAGGATTAATGATGGCACCGGATAAAGTGGCACTCCTACCTAGTATCCAAGCTAACTGTGTTGGGTTGCCTGCTAAAGCAATTTTGGTCTATTACTCAGCAGGTTATACACTTATTTTCTTCATGACCGAATTAGAATAGTCCAGCATTTTAATGCTTTTCTTTCATTAGCACTCACACCCACCTAATCCCAATCTTGATTATAAAGCATCAATTCCGTCACGGACGGCACCCTCATACCGCAAAATGTATATACAGAACATCAACAACAATCAATACCTGAACAACTTCGCTAATCCTATCTCTGATAATCTGGAGATTGGGTAGTTCTTTAAGTTGCTTTTCCACTTCGTCAACTGATGGAAGTTCGTACTTCTGTTGACCGGCAATATTCAGACGAAGTTCCGATTCACCTTCATCCCTGTAAAAATATTATGAAAATACAGTTTATTAGGAAAAGAAACAGCCTGTCAACTCACGCCGTTTTCTGCTTTCTTTTATCCAGGAGCCTCGACTTTTTCTCAATAGGTAATTCATTACCAGAATCGTCGTTACCTGGAACGCAAGTAAACATTTACATATAAAGAATGAAACAGCTATAAGGACTCACCACTCGCACTACCATCGAGGGATTCGTCGCTAGCAAAGTCATCGTCCATTTCTATATCCGAGTCCTCTCCTACTACACCGTGGAGCTTAGTAACATGCTCATCGTCCTGCTCGTCGTCGGATTCAAATAATGGGATAGGCTAGAATTTCGTTGAAATTTCGTAATTTATGTAAGAGACTGAATTTTCCAGGGAGCAAACCTTTTTGTTCTTCTTAGATCCACCATTTTTTGACTCGTTAGTGACCTTTGAGGAAGTATTCGTGCCGTTCTTGAAAATATTAGCACATCCACAGCGTAGAAAATAATCACAGATAAAGAAATGATGAAAAACTCACCTGATTCGGGAGATTTTCAACTTTTTTCTTTCCAGCTTTGCCATTGTGGATGTTAGATTCTTTCAACAAACCCAGTTTTTTCTTCTTAGGTGGTGAACCATCAACTTTGACGAATTGAGAGAGCTGGAAAACATGTTGCTTTCGTCAACTGACTGTCGGAACCTGAGAACAAAATCAGTCAGAACAAATCTTTAAATACCGACCTCTTTCGGAGTTCCTTGCTTCTTCTTCAATGCGGGTTTCGATTTTGCCTTCAAGGATGTCTGAAAGAAAGCTATGTGTATACCAAGGAAAGAAGCGACATTACACAAACACAGTTAATTCGCTCCTCTGAGTTTTACCTATAACCCACAATAAACCTCCCGGGTCTCATCCAGTAAGGGGGGCATCAAGTGGCTGCCCTCACCCCCACCCCCCTAGACTGCCTACACTCCCCCTGGCGCACAGGTTTCTCGAAGTACGGGACCCCGTGAGCCAGGGGGAGTGAAGGCAGTCTAGGGGGTGGGGGTGAGGGCAGCCACTTGACGTTGCATCACAATGCCCCCCCCCCTTTACTGGATGAGACCCAACCTCCCTAACAACACCAATTAGATTCAAAAATCAGTTTTATCACACGCTAAACGCCGAATTAAATATCTGCATCACACCGCACGAAGGAAGCTCCATTGACAAGGAAATAGCTCAAAACGTTTTCACGCCCAACTACCCCAAAAAAGAAAAGCAGGGACAAAGCATTTTGTGAAGCCATTCCTTTCTATGATAATAAGGTAATTACAATTTGAAAACAACAGCGGAATGATACGCGGTAGAAAATTGAACGAATTCAAAGAAAAAAACCGACCTCATCTACGCTTGCCAAGGACTTCTTTCGCTTTACTGATTTTTTATGCTTCTTTGATGTATTATTCACGTCCATCACCAATAAAAATTTGAGACTGAGGCAAAACCACCAAGAAATGCCTGAAATAATGGGGAAGTTGATAAAACGGGAGGTACGTGTAACTGCGTACTGAAGAGAATACCGTTTCCTACGCCTAATTTTCTGATTAGAAATGAGATAAGTGAAATTGTGAGGGTCGTGCTATTTGGTGTCCCTTTCGTTGAGATCGCCATTTTATGCTGACGACTAGGTTTTTCATGGTCGTTCCTGTGCTGCCACGCGTAAACCAAGCTTATTTGGTTGAGCCTTTGGTTCCTCGCTTGCGAAAGGCTAGGGTTATACAAACTGTGTATGTAACCTGACGTGTTCCCGTTGCGCATGCGCTTGGATGGTCTTATACTTCGTTTAGTTCATCTTTATTGCGCATTATTCGCAATCTCGCATGTGTAGTCAAGCATATCGCTGTGTAAAGGGCAACTGTGAAGTTGTGGTGCTCTAAAAGCAAACCGCGGCGCTGCCGCAGTAGATGTTTCTTGGTCAATTTCGTTCCTGCGAGCAACTTTTCTTTGTCGATTTTGTTGAGTCATCCATGAGCGCTATCGGACCTTCCTGATTATTCTGCAATATACGGGAATGTTGACATTTTGCTTTGGTCTCATAATCGGGTCTGATTCCTGCAGGCACCAATCATTTTCATATTTTTTTAATGGGATTCGGGGTCCATCGGAGGGTAGGCTTGCGAGTGTGATAACTGTAGACAATAAAACTCCCTCATTCCTTGTCTAATAATCTGTTATAACGTCTTCTTTTCTGGTTACGCTGCGGTTTTAGACCACGTTGCCTTAATCAGTTAATTTCTGTTCTCATACTTTGCTTTTCAGATGGAGTACCTCTTCGGTCGAAGAAAAACACCTGCTGAGCTTCTGCGACAAAATCAGCGTGCACTAAACAAAGGTATATCAGCAGCTCTTCACTTTTTTAGTCACAATCTGCTTTACAAATCTCCAGAATTTGATCTCGGGTCTATTCCAGTTAGTTGGGGGCATAATGGTGCGGTGACTCCCAAAAAGCTACGGTAACTCTGAG